GCACTAAATGTATTTCAAAACTTCCATAAGAATTCATGAGACTTCATTAGACTTCAAAAGACTTCAAGAGACTTCAAGAGACTTCAAGAGGCTTGAAGAGACTTCATGAGACTTCATAAGACTTCATGAGACTTCATTAGAATTCAAGAGACTTCAAGAGACTTCATGAGACTTCATTAGACTTCATGAGACTTCATTAGACTTCATGAGACTTCGTGAGACTTCATTAGACTTCATGAGACTTCATAAGACTTCATAAGACTTTATGAGACTTCAGAGACTTCAAGAGACTTTATGAGAATTCATTAGACTTCATAAGACTTCAGAAGACTTCGAAAGACTTTCAAGATTTCATGGGACTTCACGACTGAAGTCTCTGCTGTTTCCCCCTTGATTTTGGTACTAATTTGAGCTTTAACGTCGAGGAAAATAATTCTATGATTTATGATTCACATTAATTGCTTGTGTTTTTTCGATGATGATGATGACCAAAATTCTTTTTTGGTCATTGATTTTATTTTTCACTTTTCCTTCATCATTATTTATCAATCATTTGAATTTCAAACAATTTCTTCTGATCCAAAAAAAAGAGAAAAAAAAGAATATATATTGTCCATGAAGGAGTGTATATGAACAAAGGACAAGTGTTCACATCCATGCACATGAAAAACGATGAAATTAATTCGTGTCTCATCATTTCAATTAATCATATGATGATTAATCAATTATATTTGAATGTGCACATCATCATCATCAATTATCGTTCGTCAAATTGATATCAACATCACTAGAATGTCTTTGATTGGCAATGTATGTTTAAAAACATATATATATAAGAAACACATTTTCACCGGTACTCTCATACGATTCGATCGAATAAACCATGAGCATGCTCAATAAAGATAAAACATGACACTCATATGATTTATTTTTCACAGATTACAATTTTTTATATTACTTACAATAATTAATATTATTTTACATTATGATTTTTCATGAATGACATGACAGTTATCAATTTATAATTACTTAGAATATTATAAATGAAATATATTTACAATGCTACGTATGAGTTTATAATGCATTAAAATGTATACATTTATAATGAAATTCATTACATAATGTTATGTTAACCTTTTGAATTCTGTAGTAGGAAAAAGAAATCTATACATATTTAATAATTATTATGTAATCTACTGGAATGTAGCAATAAAGAATATTCAACGGTGTGGATGTAGTGGGTATCGAGCTAGTAGATATGGATGTGTAGGTGTGCGCGCGTGAATCCATATGTGAGCATGTTGGTTTTTATCTAGACGTGTCAGTGTCCAGTAGAAATAATTTGGGACGCAAAGGATTACAATACATTAATTTCCAATGACATTTATTGATCGATATTATATAATGATGCATTTTTTTAGAACGAAATCTAGGGGTGGGTGTTATTAAAATTCATTTCTGTACAATTCAATAAATGCATTATATTACAATGAAATTTATTAATTTCATGATGTATTAAAATGTTTTGATTTACAATGAAACTTATTGTATGATATTATGTTAAACTTCATTAATTTACAATGACATTCATTGAAACATATTATATTAAAATGTATTATTTTAGAATGAAATTTATTGAATAATGTTATTTAAATCCATTGCTTTACAATGCATTAATTTATAATGAAATTCATTCATTCAATGATGTTATATTATGATTCATTTTTTTCACAGTGTTTTTGATTTCAATCATAATACATGTTAGGATATATTGATTTACCATAGAAATTCATTCTATGATGTTTTTAAAATTCATCTGTTTGTTTTTTGATTTATATGAAATTATAAAAAACATGAGAATGTTAAAAAAGAATATGATTTATTATTGATTTATACCAATAACAAGAATCGATATGTTGCTTCAAAAATTATCTTATTTATCTTTGGAAAGACTTGAACAAATAAATAAATAGTTGAAAGATTAAAAAAAAATTTCTTTTCTGTTTTCTTGGAAGAACAGTTCTAAATTAAATTTTCATAACAACACTTACATTGAGATAATGTTAGAATGAGATATAGATGATTTATTTTGGATGAAATAATTTTTTTCATCATTATTGCACACATTTAGTGTATATTATTATTATGTTAAGTCTATGTTATTTATGTTAGAAGATAGATACCAATTTATATCACAGTCCTATCAGGTGGCTTCGTAACCTGATCCAGAGAAAGATTCTGTTCGTCATGGATTAGCGACAGCACTGTAGTACTTGGAAGGGCCTTTAATGTACGTAGGTCCCTGCCGTCATTATGTACCGTACTCCTATGTACATTGCCCTACCAGTCCGGCGTGGTACGCTCTGTGTCTATCCGTTTCATACGCATAAGGCCTCTCCCTGCTCGCGCGCGCGCGTACGCACGAAAATGAGCCTAGAAAAGTCGAGAAGTGAAAAGCAATCAAAACCAATTTATTCAGCAAGTAAACGAGAAAAAAAAATAATGAATTACATTTTCATTCGAATTTTTTCAAATGTTTCTTTATATTCCAAAAGATGATGATGAGTTGAAGGTAATTTTTCTTGAGCTATTTCTATCCCTTGTTGAACATTTTTCATTGCCATACTGTATTTTTGTGTAGCCAAAAATAACTTTGCCATATTATGATATACAACAGCTAAATCAGGATGATTTTTTGGTAATTTCTTCTCACGTATTTCTAATCCTTTTTCGAAATATGTCAATGCCGTTGAATAATCTTTCATTTCACGATAAGCTTCACCTAAATTTATATATGTCATTGCACATTCCAGAGGATTACATTGAACATTTTCTTGTATACCTAATGCTATTTGATGAAATGCAAGTGCCTTTTCATAATTACTTATTAATCGATGAACATCACCAACATTACTAAATGCAAAAGCTACATTCGGATGATTGTCAGGTAAGGCTTTTTTCCATATTGCGAGACACTTTTCGAAATTCTCCAGTGCTTTTGGATAATCCTTCATGCTGCGATAAATCTTTCCGAACCAGTTGTATGGCAAAGCCCGATGAGGGTGATTTGGAAGCAGAGCATTTTCGAAGATTTCATGTGATTTTTCGAAAAATTCAAGTGCTTTCGAGTAGTCACCCATCTCGAAATACACTGTACCCATGTTATTGTAGGAAGTAGCCAAATCGGGATGATTCGGAGGCAGAGCTTTTTCCTTTATTTTAAGTGATTTTTCGTGAAATTCAAGTGCTTTCGAGTAGTCTGCCATGTTCTTATACACTAGACCGATGTTGTTGTAGGAAGTAGCCAAATTGGGATGATCCGGAGGCAGACCTTTTTCATAGATTTGATGTGCTTTTTCGTAAAGCTCAAGCGCTTTCGAGTAGTCACCCATGTCGTCATACACGAGACCGATGTTATTGTAGGGAATAGCTAAATCTGGATGATTCGAAGGTAGAGCTTTTTTCGTGATTTCCAGACCTTCTTCGTAAAATTCAAGTGCTTTCGAGTAGTTACCCATGTGGTAATACACTTCACCGATGTTGTTGTAGGAAGCAGCCAAATGGGGATGATTCGGAGGCAGAGCTTTTTCTATTATTTTATGTGACTTTTCGTAAAACTCAATTGCCTTGTAGTAGTCAGCCATTTTGTTATAGACTGCACCGATGTTGTTGTGAGAAGTAGCCAAATCAGGATGATTCTGAGGTAGAGCTTTTTCTCTTATTTGATATGATTTTTCGTAAAATTCAAGCGCTTTCGAGTAGTCACCCATGTCGTTATACACTGCACCGATGTTGTTGTAGGAACTAGCCAAATCGGGATGCTTTGGAGGCAGAGACTTTTCTCTTATTTTATGTGCTTTTTCATGAAATTCAAGTGCTCTCGAGTAGTCACCCATGGCCTTATACACTTCACCGATGTTGTTGTAGGAAGCAGCCAAATGGGGATGATTCGGAGGCAGAGCTTTTTCTATTATTTTATGTGACTTTTCGTAAAATTCAATTGCCTTGTAGTAGTCAGCCATTTTGTTATAGACTGCACCGATGTTGTTGTAAGAAGTAGCCAAATCAGGATGATTCTGAGGGAGAGCTTTTTCTCTTATTTGATATGATTTTTCGTAAAATTCAAGTGCTTTCGAGTAGTTACCCATGTGATAATACACTCCACCGATGTTGTTGTAGGAAGTAGCCAAATCTGGATGATTTGGAGGCAGAGCTTTTTCGACGATTTTATGCGACCTTTCGTAAAATTCAATTGCCTTGCAGTAGTCAGCCATATTGTTATAGACTGCACCGATGTTGTTGTAGGAAGTAGCCAAATCAGGATGATTCGGAGGCAGAGCTTTTTCTCTTATTTTAAATGATTTTTCGTAAAATTCAAGCGCTTTTGAGTAGGCACCCATGTCATTATACACTGCACCGATGTTGTTGTAGGAAGTAGCCAAATCGGGATGATTTGGAGGCAGAGTTTTTTCTTTTATTTGATGTGATTTTTCGTAAAATTCAAGTGCTTTCGAGTAGTCACCCATGTTGTTATACACTCCACCGATGTTGTTGTAGGATAGAGCCAAGTCGGGATGATTTAGAGGCAGAGCTTTGTCGTAGATTTTATGTGATTTTTCGAAAAATTCCAGTGCTTTCGAATAGTCACCCATGTTGCTATAGACTGCGCCGGTGTTGTTGTAAGAAGTAGCTATAGCAGAATGATTCTGAGGCAGAGCCTTTTCTATTATTTGATGTGATTTTTCGTAAAATTCAAGTGCTTTCGAGTACTCAGCCATGTTGTTATAGATAAGACCGATATTGTTGTAGGAAGTAGCCAAATTGGGATGATTCGGAGGTACAGCTTTGTCGTAGATTTGATGTGATTTTTCGTAAAATTCAAGCGCTTTCGAGTAGTCACCCATGTCCTTGTACACTCCACCGATGTTGTTGTAGGACAGAGCCAAATCGGGATGATTCGGAGGAAGAGCTATTTCTTTTATTTGATGTGATTTTTCGTAAAATTCAAGTGCCTTGTAGTAGTCAGCCATGTGATTATAGATAAGGCCGATATTGTTGTAGGAAGTAGCCAAATCGGGATGATTCGGAGGAAGAGCTCTTTCTCTTATTTGATGTGATTTTTCGTAAAGTTCAAGTGCTTTCGAGTACTCGCCCATGTCCTTATACACTCCACCGATGTTGTTGTAAGAAGTAGCCAAATTAGGATGATTCTGAGGAAGAGCTTTTTCTCTTATATGACATGATTTTTCGTAAAGTTCAAGTGCTTTCGAGTAGTCACCCATGGCGTTATACACGAGACCGATGTTGTTGTAGGAAGTAGCCAAATCGGGATGATTCCGAGGCAGAGCTTTTTCTTTTATTTTATGTGCTTTTTCGCAAAATTCAAGTGCTTTCGAGTAGTCACCCATGTCGTAATACGCTGTACCGATGTTGTTGTAGGAACTAGCCAAATCGGGATGATTCGGAGGCAGAGCTTTTTGCCTTATTTTAAGTGATTTTTCGTAAAATTCAAGTTGATCAGAGTAGTCACCCATGTTGCGATACACTCCACCGATGTTGTTGTAGGAAGTAGCCAAATCGGGATGATTTGAAGACAGAGCTTTTTCTTTTATTTGATGTGATTTTTCGCAA